GAGCCTCAATTTCCTGGGATGGGGTGGGTTAGATGAATTTGGTCCTGAAATTTTGTCATTCTAAAATTCTGTAAATCTAAAATGGACTAAAGAAATGCATTCTACTGTTATGTATAACTCATTAGCATAAATAAAAAATATTTTTTTAAAAATAATAAAATGAACTTTTAGAGTGAAACTCAGATTAACCAGAAAGAAACATTGAGTCCCCACAAGCTAAGCCGCACCTCCAGTCACACTTATTTCCAGGTGCAAGCACAGTAATTGCAGGGAAAGCTTTTCTTGCAAGAAATTTCTTGAGCTGAAAGGAACTTCATTCCAAGATTGAAACAGCAACAACACAAAAAATTGCAAACGACTTGAACAGTATTCATGGGTTCATTTTGCTAGTTCCCATTAATCTCCAGGTTCACCTGAAACTAGCTAAGTGAATTATTTTCTATTTCATACATTGGCCAACTAAATAGAGATGAGCCAACTAATTTCATGGAAACAAAACACCTTCTAGAGATTATGCTCAGTTTGGGAGCTCTGGTGGTTAGGACCTTGTCCTTGTTTCACACCTCACATTTCCTAACACGGTTCTGAGTGACACTGGGGTGGTGATGAGGGACTTTGTAACACACTTTACCCATTGCAATTGGATCAATTTTACGTAACCTTATTAGGGGGCCACTCACTAGTCCTGAGCCTCAGTTTCCTCCTTTTTCAATTGGGAAGTCAAATGTCCACCTCCCAGAATTGTTGAGGGATACATGAGGCCATAGAATGTTCTAGCACTTTTCCCATCTCATTGTCATCTAGTCTGACCTGTGCTCACAAGGGTCCTGTGATTACCTTAATGCTTTCCTGTTCTCATATTTAAATCCTTAATAATTTTTGAACAAGGGACTCCAGACCTTCATTTTGCATGGTGGTCCCAACAATATGTAGCTGATTCTATTCAAGGCATTGTACTGGGTACGACTGTCAGATCTCACACCACGAGACTGATACACACAGCACAAGAAGCGGGGTTGGCCAGTTAACAAGCCTTCGCTGTCTCCTATTCCATATTGCCAAGCACTGTGCAGGCCGAGTCCC